TAATGACTCAACTCTCCCTCTCACACTACACTGCCGGCTCTTCCCTCTCAGAGAAATTTTTGGGGAAAACCACTAAATTTTAATAAATAATAGGCTACCTCAAACTAAAGTTAGATAATACAATTGACATTGCTGGATTCTTTGTAAGACCAGGAATATTTTGAATATAAATGTCATATATTTGCACAAAAGATAACATAGTTACCTAGAGAAAATTTTATCTAAAATTTGTATGTTTAATGCAAAATATATGATGTTTATATTCAAATGATCACCAAATTATAAGAATTCCAGCAATGTAAATTATATTCTGACCGTAATTTGTATGAATTTTATGAGCTAAAACAAATATCTTCAGTTAATAAAAATAATCTTCACGACACTATCTGTCAATCAAAGTACCCCACCTTGCCTCCCTCTTCCAACCACGCGGTCAGTCCCAACCTCCCCCACCCCCACCAATCCTCCCTTCCAGAGTTTTAACATTTAGTATTAAATAATACCTCAGATTAAAGTTAGGATAATATAATTGACATTGCTGGATTCTGTAAGATAGGAATATTTTGAATATAAATGTCATATATTTTGAACAAAAGAAAACATAGTTAATTTGAGAAAAATTTTTATCTAAAATTTGTATGTCTAATGCAAAATATATGATGTTTATATTCAAAATGATCATCAAATTATAAGAATTCCAGCAATGTAAATTATATTCAGACCGTGTAATTTGTATGAATTTTATGAGCTAAAACAAATATCTTCAGTTAATAAAAAAAAAAATTCTTCACGGGTAACAGATGGTCGGTCGGTCCCTCCTCTCCACCCCCCCCACCAACCGTCCCAAGGAGATGTGGGATAACCACTAAATTTTAATAAATAATACCTCAAACTAAAGTTAGATAATATAATTGACATGATTCCTTGTAAGCTCAGGGAATATTTTGAATATAAATGTCATATTTTGCACAAAAGATAACATAGCTCTGAGAAAAATTTTTATCTAAAATTGTATGTCTAATGCAAAATATGATGTTTATATTCAAATGATCACCAAATTATAAGAATTCCAGCAATGTAAATTATATTCTGGCCGGGTAATTTGTATGAATTTTATGAGCGAAAACAGGCAGTCAGGCAGGGTGGGGGGGCAAATCTAAAATAGCGTTCGAGCCGACACTCACCGCTGTGATATGTGGAAAAACTGCGTTAAGTGAAAGTTCATCTGGCAGGCACCAGATAGGATAAAAACGCTAAGTATGAAAACCGCAGTAGCGGGTAATACTGTATATATATATATCTATATATAGATATATATATATATATATATATATATATATATATATATATATATATATATATATATATATATATATATATATATATATATATATATATATATATATATATATATATATATATATATATATATATATATATATATATATATATATATATATATATATCTATATATATATATATATATATATATATATATATATATATATATATATATATATATATATATATATACAGGTTGTACCTCTAGTCCGCATTCGTGGTCCGGAATCCGTGGTCCGAACTATTTTTGTTTGTCCAATAGGTAGATAGGCAGTTTTTTTTTTTTTTTTTACTTATGAATTATTATTATTATTATTACAGGAGTATTAAATTTTTGCCACTCAGGCCCCAATGTGGGTCAGTGACCCACGCCCGGTGGGCTAATCCTTAAAAAAAAAGCCACGGAAATTAAGGTTCGTACATCCGCATTTGCTGTTTCTGCTTGTCTATACAGAGTACAACATTTAACCCTTCAATATATATGAGCAGTAAATAAGTGTTGCTTTCATATTCTTATGTAGAGTAATGACGATATATTTTCACATGAGACTTACATACAAGCAGTCTTAATTTTTTTTACCATTGATGGTTAATTACTTATATTGTTCCATTTATTAACATTAAATAACATTACAGGTACTTCAAGCAACTATATTAATTTTTACATTAATTTTACTATAGCTAAACTCAGGGTCTTATTTTCTTCAGTTTTATATGCAGAACCAATCAGTCACTGGTTTCGTAGCTTTAACATAAACAATGCCGCAGCCGCCTTCGCTCTCTAATATTCCAATTATATAAATTGTATTGTTAATTTTGCACACGACATTAATTCAAAACCAAATTCAGAAACATTAATTAAAATATATATAAACAGTAAATAAGTGTTGCTTTCTATATTCTTAGTAAAGTAATGATGATATAAATGCAGCGATGCAAGACTTACATATGCTGTGACTTTTTTTCTTTTTACCATTATCAGTTAGCTACTTCTATTGTTCCTATTAACATTAAATAACATTACTTAAAACAACCATATTAATTTTACTACAGCTACAACAAAGTCTTATTTTTCAGTTTTATATGTAGAACCAGTCAGTCACTGGTTTTGTAATCAACGAAACAATGCTGTGTCATTTCCTCGTTTTAATATTCTACG